GTCAATAATAATTGTTATGACTTTATATGATAAAGGCTTGCAATTGATGTAGAGGTTGAAACCGTGTGAGAACATCCATTGCGCCGTGTAGCATCCCAAGACAGTGACGATCCGTGTAAAGAAAATCAGTGTTATCCATCGAATAAAACGATTCAACGCTTAAAATTACAAAAAAACGCATCAAAGTTTACATTACATTACACCGTCCATATCAATTCTGCTGTTTTTTTTTTATATGATAGACCGGAAGTCCGAATCTATTTTTGCGCAATGCGCATTGCTATTGGACACGGAGATCCGTTCATCTTTGACAGCGCAGACTTACTCGGCAGAATATCATCACACTCCACGAGAAAAAGTTTCATTTATGTCCCACCGATGTTATAGAACTTTTGGTTCTTGCTATTCGCAGGACATCTACAAATGACGCAGTTAATATCATCTTTGAACTCATTTGAAATTGCCCATGTTGTCGAATCTTATCCTGCTTTCATTTTGCAATTTTTTTTAGCAAACTGATAAGCAAATGGGTATTTGAAATATGTTGCCTCGTTTCATGGGGCTACATAGAACCATTGGAAATGGTCTTAGTGCAAAAAACGCATTGCGGCAGTTGCTCAAAAATTTTCGTTAAAAACGTGAAACGTAGCCGAGATGACTATGATCGTACTTTATTTTTACATAAGCCATTATCTTTTATTAACAATTTAGCAGAATGGATGGACGGGTCAAATATTTGTTCATCAGAGCGCGTGCTTCCCAATATATATCTCCGAGACATTTGAATGAAAACTGTTATCTTTTGCGGCAACGAAAATCTACTTGCGTAACGTTTAATTAAAAGCATTGGTGCTCGCTCGAGACATGCCTGTTAGGTTGTTATCGGCCGACTAAAGATCAAAATGAGTTGCGTAGCACGATCAGAATATCATGCCCAACGACGTGATTTTAGTTTTGATTAATTAGATGGGAATCTTTTTCCGCTTCATGGCATATATTGTGATTTTCATTGTGTAATATTTAATAATTGTGTTGTTGTGCGTACATTTTTAGAGGAGCATTCAATTTCCCACCTGCAACCTCCAAATTTCCCACTAGTGGAAAATTTTTCACCGGTTGGGAACCACTGTAATAGACGAAACAAGATGGTTACTCATTTCCTGTTAAAAGTCCCGTCCGTTATACTGGTACGTGTTGTGTTTCTATATACATAGGCGAGAACATTTTCCACCTTTATGTAATTCTGCTATAAATATTCATGCTATATTGTGTGAAGATGTGAATCACTATAGGCTTACTTGTATTATTTCTACTCATTTTCAATTACTTTGCTGCTGAGAAAGGGCTCTAGCATTCAGTCAAAATTTCATTTTGGGTTAGATATGTAAAAAAAAATAGCAGGCAATAGCAGGACCCCAACAGCAGCGTAGCTAGAAATTGTCAAGGGTATTTTGGGATTCTTAAGTTCCAAGTAAGACCGTAACAGGTAACAGCTTTTTGGTGCTTTTTCCATTTTCCAAAAAAGGCCATCAAAGTCTACGTCCCTGTACCCTAATTCGAGATATATAGAATCGAAGAGAACATATCTGAAATGAGTGGAGTTCTAACAGAATAGTACGCGATATTATTGCGCTTCTCGGGACAAAATTCATTTTCATAAAGAATAATTATCAGTAAATTATACCCCCATTCACCCCACATTACTTTCTCCCTTGTCACCCGGAAAGTTGTGAATGACATAACCTTTGTGACACTCTCTGAGAAAATGATCTTTGGCATTCGTTTTTCATACGCATTATGCGTGGGATATGCAGTATGACGTAATAGAACGATGCATTGCGGAAACGACACTGTTAATTGTTCCTCATAATACACATTTGACGCGGTTGTCTTCAGCCAGTTGATTGGTAGCGCTTGTCGCGTACCAGTTTTAAAGGAGAAATATTTTCATAATTCATGTCTATACCAGGAGAGAGGAAAGTCAAGAGGGCGGTTGCAGAATGTAGAAAGTAGTGGTATTGTATTTTTGGTGTATAGTTAACTTGTCTACGTTCATAGTAAGTGGGAAACGACCGAAGTCATGGTATCTCAACTATTAGACTTTCAAAACACTGCTTAAAAACAGGGTTGTTCTTGTCGATTCGTATTTAGGATATTTACATATTCATCACGGGGAGAGGAAAGCCGTTGAGACAGCTTAATCATATGGCGAGCCACGGCTTATCGTCCGGTTACCAGTTCATGTCGGTTTTGGGATTGGTTAGCCAGTTATTTGTTTTCGGAAGCATGGACTTTTCGAGTTTTCCGTAGTCATGTTGAAATTGTCGCAAATATACGCCTATAAAGTCGTCAATTCTTTTGCTCAAATAAGAAACGTTTTGTTGGCTGGGATAGGTATTTATATTCATTCCGGAAGGGGGGAAAATAATAAAGCTTCTTTAGTACACCTACAGCGTCACTCAGCAGTATTTTGTTATACGTTTAATACGCCTACGGTATTACCACGTTCAAAGCGTCTGAACTAGGATATCATATATCCAAATGACTATTAATAAATGAATGAGGTTGTGAAGTAGGATTTGTATTTTAAGTTTTTTGGAGCCGGTGTTAGTCGTTTTGTTTTTTCGGAGTCGAAATTTGAAATGAGGAACTTAAAGTCGAAGCATTCGTTTTCTCGAATAGGAAGAGGTTTGTTACCTAGAATAAGGGTTGTCACCCGAAGTCGTCTCACCTGAAGTTGTGTCATAAGCATATTCGATTTCGACTGTCTTCAATCAGTTGGCAGCGGTTGGATTGTATATTGATGCCGGGGCAGGGAAAATCAGGCGAGTGGACGACTGAAGCGAACGACAAAACATTACCTTTGCAGGTAATTTCCTGCTTTGGTTGTGATATCATAGTAGACATGTTAGACTTATTCAACTAATGAAAATATAAGGAACGCTCATACTCATTCTTGTGCCACCGCGAACGATATTTTTTTTATCTCTGGTTTGGTCAGGATACGAAATTAGATAAAATTAATCTAATCTTAGATGAAAAGAAAAGACAGATCACAAAATAAGAGGTCGGGAGATAACAAGATATTACCTTAACCTGTCTTATTCTGACTACACAGAATGGAAGAGAACAGTTCAGGAAATTAGTGATGACAACGAGGGCATCTTAGGGGTTGGCCTTGGGTTTATCAGTGTCGCGTTTTTCTCAATATGTTTTTGTTTACGTAAGATATGAAACTCGCCCTGAGTAGCAGAAAAGTTTGGCACGCTCTTGAGTGACAATAAGGTGATAGTGTATCAGTTCGTTTAACGATACATCCGATCCGGAACTCGAAACAGACGATTTTTGCTATAGCGATGACCGTTGGATAGATTTTGGCAAGTTATTCACATATGTAATTACAGATAAACGTGCTGAATACGCTTCTCGATTCGGCCGAAAGTATAGCCAGTTAGTTACGTTTTGTCGTAAAATTGGCCAAGGGAGACCGAAAAGTTTAATTACAATTTACTATGTTTCAAAATATGGAATGAAATTAGTTTTAAGTTTCGGTCCCGTTATTATTCCAACATTATTTTTTATCTGTTTTGACTTTATTTATCTCACAATAACAATACAGCGTATAATTTGCTATAAACGAAATTATGGAAAAGACTGTTTCAATATAAAAAAAAATAGAACTGAAAGCCTTTATAGAAAGGGGTGGTAAAAACGAATGATCATATTTGGCAGACGAACGGTGTCGTCTGCTTACATTTCGGTTGTCGGTAGACCACCATAAAGATAAATACAATATAAAAAAAATAGATCAGAAAATAAGTGTGAGGCAATAACAGTATATGGATCAAGTTTGTTTAGATATATACACCAGATTTGAAAAATTTGGTTAACCGATCAACCAAATTTCGGTGATTGCTAGCCTGTTTATCCTAACAAAACGGTAAACCGGTCAACTAATTTTAGTAATGCGCAAACCAGTTAAATTGCAACCAAAATATATAAGTTAAAGCCTAAAGTACACCGCAATGAACTTGCAACAGCAACGAAAAAGGTGATAGAGAGATAGATGATTATATTTGGCAGACGAACGGTGTCATCTGCTGATATTTCGGTTGTCGCTAGACCATCGAAAACGTCTGTGGCGATCTACCAAATGCCATGCGGAACAATCAATCTTCACACAGCATAGATGTAAAAGTAATAAAACAACAATGTCATGTGATATCGAAATAATGAATTTAAGAAGTGCGAGTCCCAAAAATTGTATTCAAGAAATTGACAAATAAATACGTATATCTCAATCGCATATTCAAAATATACATTTTTTATACGAGTGGACGTCATCTGAATAACTCGTATGAGAATATACCCAAAGCAAAATCAAATAAAAGTAGAAATGGACTCACGTTTAGACAGTGTTATGAGTTATGAATAAATACTAAAATTAGGTAGAATAATACCAACTACTATTCCCATGCATGGCATTGGCCCGTGAACAGATGTAAGGCCGCGGTTCGACATAGGATTAAGCTGTTTTATCGGGCTGGTAATCGGATTAGAGAGGTCGGGATACGTCATGTGATTAAATTGTCTTATCGGTTTTCCTTTACCCCTGGATAAATATGAAACCCTATTCTGTAAATAAGCTGTCTTGTGGACTTTCTTCTCCCCAATCTCACGACCTCATAAAATAAAATAAAAATAGCCTTGGATATGAACAAAACGGAATTCTCGTAACGCGCTAAAATTACAGGTCTATTGGTAATCGATTTCCTTTGTAAGAGGAAGTGCATACCTATTTAACTACTATGAAATACAAGTTGCTTTGACTACATTTTTAACAGCATGGTTTCGGTTATATGCGGTTGGTGTCCGTCTGTGCGATTTATTATTATTATTATGTGAGGCACTGCGCAACAGATAGAGCTATCTTGTAAAATTAGGTCCTCTGAAAAGGCAGTTGTTTCAGCATGTTAACTTGAATTATTGCAGGTATTCTGCTTACTGTTTTTTACTGACATGTATGGTACCGCATATTTCTATATGGCCTTAGTAGCTGATGATTGCTCAGAGATGAGTCTCTTTTACTGTCAAGTAACTTCGCTAAGAGATGAGACTCCTTTACTTCTGGTGAGTGCCCGAACTTAGCTCAGAGATGAGTCTTATTTATTTTTGAGTGAGTGCCCAAAACTTTGCTCAGAGATGAGTCTTCTTTACCTCTTGTCGTGTGGTAGTTACTTTACTGGTGTTTATATTGGTGTTTCGCATTCCAGATCTTTAAATTGCGTCTATGTTTGTGCAATGAGTGTTTACGGTAGGAATTAAAATAACTAGACTTAGAGGATACTACACTGTGTTAAAATTCTAATTGCTATTTTGTATCAGTGTATGACACAGACAGATATTTTCAAAATGTTAACAGATCAATTTTATGACTTTTGTTTATATCATCTTTTATGCTGATTATGGAGTCTAATTTAGGAGTATTTGTTTTTTCACTTGTATTATATGTCACATATAGGAATAAATGCTTTAAACCTAATTTGAAGTACTGTCGACTCTTCCGAATTTCCCTTCAGCGTGTTCGCATTATGTATTGTAATTTTTCAATATCAATTGTCCTAATTACTCTCGGCTTCAATGCAGTTTAGATACTGGTATATTATGCAAAGACCCGTGCCATTGATCAAGTTTATTTATATCCTCTTCCCAATTAATCATGAATTACTACTTTCCAGAAATAACAAAACACTTGTCAATTATTTGTCATAGTTTCTATAATATATTGACTAGAGCGAGACACATCAAATATTTAAATTTCTTCTATTAGCCATTCAATGTATACATGCCACGAATGAGGGCGCTATCGAAACCGACCTACAGGCTTGGAATAAGTAAGTGTATGTATATCCATGAGGCGTCCTCAACTATCTTGGGGCCGCATGTTGGGGGGGGGGGGGTAAACACGTTGACCCACACATGATTTTGATTTAAAATGGTTTAGCGCAGGGCTTATGGGAGTGAGGACCCCAGGTTCCAGTGGAATATTGCAGACCCGTGTAACTCGCTAATTTATGTAAATCGGATACTTTTTACAGATCTTGAAGGTTCAATATAGTGTATTTTTTTTGGAAGGATATTTGAATTTACTGCTGACACATTTGAAAGGATACAGGCTACGGACGCTATCGAAACAGTAAACAGGTCTTCGAATAATAACAGGAAGAGTCCGAGAGGAAGAAAATCGACGCTGTTGAAAAAATATATATAACTCCAAACCGGAAATACTTATATAGTATATATAAATCAGAACGTGGAAGCTGAATATACTGGAGGGATTTTGGACAATTTCAGCTGGTTTAGAGAATATCACTTGTAACCAGGGCATTTCGTCACAAAATTGAGACGATTTGACTTTTGACTCGAAAGTCGGACGCTATACAGTACGTCCTATCAATATAAACGGCTGACTTAGCGTTCACTGTCTGACTACACAAAACTTGATTTAGAGAAATTATAAACAAAGACAATTTATCGAGACGTAACTGGACGCCACAACGTTGTGCATATTGAAACTTATCGACAAATATTACCCGGAAATAATACACTTCATCGAAAAAGAAGAATCGAACATATCTTCTCAGACAGAAAGACGATTCGTCACAAAAATCAGTATAATTCGTCACAAAAATGAAGCAATTTAAAATCGTCTTAATGGGGTCGGGAGGAGTCGGCAAGACATCGATCACAACACAGTTTACTCGTCAATATTTTGAAGAACAGTAAGTTTGTAAAGCAATAAATATTCATAAGTTTCTCGTAGTTTAGTTCTGTGCTTTTTTGTGTCGCGGCATACTAATTTTAAAACATTCATAGATTTCGACACGGTATTACAATGAATTTAGTCATGACCAAGGGCGTAGCCAAAGGTCTGGTGGTGGCGAGGTCTGGGACCCCCTTTTTGAAATTGAAAAAAAAAAAATTCTATGTAATACATAGCAATTTTTCGAAGATTGAAACGCAATTCAGACCTTTAAGACTCGTGAAAACTCCGCTAGCCGTTACGGTCCAACTTGGCATCAATTAATAATTTCTTTTCGCCCTTGTAGATCATTGTGGACCAGCTGTTCTCAACCTGGGCCCTGGTCCTCCCTGGACGCCACAGAGTAGTTGAAGGGGAAGCAACATGCTAGGCGCAAAACCAATTTTACTTTTCACTTTACAGAAAATCTCCCCGTTCTTTCTAGTTTCATTGCTTGATAAAGTTATTTCACAATGTGTTTCCAATTTGTTGAGCATGAATTGTTTGAACATAATTGGATTTGAAATCTCCCAATGAAAATAACATTCTAAATACCGTTGGAATGATAAACAGAGGCTATGAGTGCTTGAAGGCTGGGAACCACTGTTGTAGACATTTGTAGAAGAAAATATATCAAAACTAGTTGGCAAAAACTTGGTTAAATTTACTTTTAAAATTTGTCAATTCGTAAACTAGAAAATAAAGATTGTAAACTTCAATCTTTGCGGAAATGAACCTCAGGTTAGAATTCAATTCTCAATACTTAACGAGGAAATGGAAACATTATCTTAAAATAGTAAGAAACGTGGAATTGTGTTATTTTTAGATTTGGTGTTGTCTCTAAAGCGACAAGTACTATTCATCATATTTACTTCCGCTTATTATAAATCATTATATTATCTCAATGCTAGGATAGCTTTCGATTGTTTTTTTAGGCTGACTCATATATTATAAGAATAGCATAATATTTTCCCACGAAACAGCAACTTTATTTGTAAGATTTCGTTTGATCATAGTCTAACTCTTTTTATACAAAACAAAATATGGCTACAAATATGAAAGATCAATATCCAGTTAAGGATAAAAGATCATTGGTCAATCAAGATAATAGTAATAAATTTCGAAAATATTATAGATGGATGGTTTAGGTCTGTTTCTACTGAACTGTCTCAAAAATTGATGTCGGGAGAGTTCCAGTTTTGCGAATTTGTATGTTTTCATTGTTTGTTTTTGCTCATAGTTGGTACGTGCGTCGATTCCCATGGCACTGGTGTCGTTCATGATGTGACCTTTGCTGTTGAAGTGATTGCCAACTGGTGTTGGTGCAGAAAAAACTTGCAGTTCAGTGCACAATACCCCGACACCTCACATATCATACTTATTTAAAGGCTATAAACGTTTCCTTGTAATTGTATGATTTAATACCAATATTCATATGAAGCGCCTTATTAAGCATATTTTCTCAAGAAAAATAAAAACGGGTTCCAATATTTCAAAATCCATTGTGAAAAGCGGATATCGAAAACTTGAAAACTCCGGATTCAGGCCTGGGTTTCCATTTGAGTAGCCCTGGCTCCATACATACCAACATGTCAAATATGGGATAAATCTGTATTGTATGTTTTCATCAGTTACATTGTGACTGCATTTTAAGTTGATATGTAACAACGTATCATAAATTACGTGGGAAGATCGAAATAGTCGACAAAATCATTTAACCAACAAAATACTGCTGCTTGATCAGAGCCCTTTTCAAATTGCATGCGTAAGCACCCCATGAATGTAATTAAAAGTCGACAAAAATGGCGTTACTGCAAAAATAAGACGAATGCGACTTTTATATTTGATAACTTGTCAAAATAGACGGCATTTTTGGAACCCTCGACGTCTGGAACTGTCAAATCCAATGATAAATTTGAATGTTTTTGCTCCTTTAACTTTTCAATCGTCTTTGTTGTAGATCGACTGGGTCTGATCACGACTTACCTTTATCGTTCCCATGCCAACCTGTCATGTTTTGAATATTAATTGATTATGATTAAATAAAGGTTGTCTCAGTTTGCTACTGTGAAGACAAAATCAATATCTATCGGTAATTATTCAGTAACAATATAACATTTATAATCGATTACCTGAAGACGAAGCAAAATTTCTTAACTCTATCTCGTGTTCTGTAAAGATATTAGTATTCATAATTAGACGAAACATCTAAATCGTGTTATCTGAACGTTTCGTCTTAATGACTTTTTGCCACGCAGGGTTTTTGAGAATTACATTTTTATAGATGTAGACTTCATTTCATTCGGCCATCAGAAAACAGGAAAACAGACAAATGCAAGGGTCTAGCGTCAGACCTATTCATTTTAGTGTCTACCGCCGTGCCAAGGGTGTAATGAAATAAATATGATTCACAGAATAAAAATGAAGGACATTAGGTGCTTGTCCTAAGACTCATTCGGAATAAATACACAAAACAATTCATTAAAAATTTCTAAGATTTCATAATTCACGATTATCTATATTTAATTTTTTTTTCGAAAGGCCCTATATCTGTCAGGCCCGCGAGCCAAATTCGGCCCGTTTGGTATTTCAATCTGGCCCGCCTGATGCTGCCGCAACCAAACTAAACCAAATTTCGATGTTTTAGCTAAAAAATAGCTCAATGAATTTGTTGAAATTGCAATTAAATTTAGCTTTGGAACGAGGCTTATTGTTTTTCCTCTTTTGGTTTTTTTTAACACAGTAAATATTGTTCATAAAATGTAACATTTTTCGTCACACTTACATGGCCCGTCAGTCTAGTTGGGCCCTTGGTCGAAAAGCCTTGCCCACACCTGCTCTATATCAAAGTAGGTATGAAGCTGTTAAGAGGAAACATGCAAAGCACTTTATTAAAATTCCACCTACTTTTCAATAGTTACATAAATTTCACAGTTACATTTTCAATTTTTTTTTATTTGAATTACAGGATACAGAACATATGCGCTTCCTTGTAATTGAATGGTATAATGCTCATATTCATATGTAGTAGCGCCGTATACAGTAATTTTCTCAAGGGAACGACATTGATAATATTATCTCAGTATTTATTGTAAAAATTCATAACAGTTAAAAGCTGACATTGGCGAACTACGTCCCGCGGGCCAAATCCTACTCGCTGGGTGATTCAATTTGGCCCGCCTGATGTTGCCATAAATTTCTGCTTTTAACTGATTCTACATGCACTACATAGCTGTTGTTATTGAAATCGTATAGGTTGTATTTTAGGTGCCTCGTACTTTCGTTGTGTGGACGTTAACAAAATTTTACTACGTTTTCACGCTGACTCGATTCAACGGCTTGCTTTTCACATCGTTTTTTTTTCGCCTCGTACTCTTGTCCTTTTGCTTTTGTAACACTGCAAATAAAATTCTGTTCATAAAGTGTAACTTTGTACGCCACGCTTAAATGGCCCACAAGTCTAGGTGGGCAACATTTCCAGCACCTGGACCGAAAACCTTCGCCACCCCTGGTTTAAGAGTGTTAAATCCAACGTTCGTAATCGATTGGGTTTCTGCGGATCTAACTATTTCTTCTTCTTCTATGCTTTTGTGTCGATGGATCCGTATGCGTATAATGCAAGGATGCTGTAGCAGGAATAAACCTGACTATACTATGCAATTCAAGAGTCTTGCTGCACACCAACACGAGTGTATTTCTGTAACGTTTCGTCTGACATTGAATCACTTGGAGAAACGTTATTTTACGGTCGTTTTACTAAATTGTTGTTATAAAAAATCTCTTATCTTAAAAGCTAGTGGCCTATCAATTTCGAATTTTTACCACTGAAATATGGAAAAAGTCGATAAATGGTAATTTATTATTATTATTAACCTTCTCCGGGGGCCTATGGCACCTGATATATGACCCAAAATTTTGTTGTTATATTTTGACTCTTGGTAACACTGTTTTGACACTCGTGTCCGTATATTTGATCATTGCTCTCTTGTTTCAGTTATGAGCCGACAATCGAGGAAGTCCACAGGAAGACGTACTTGTTGGATGGAGAACAATGTGTGATCGAATTGATGGACACGGCAGGTAGGAAAACATCAAAAAATGAATACCACTGTCCAATGTTCCCTCTAATTTTTTGTAGTATGTGTGCGCAGACATTTTGGTGTGTGCGCACTTTTTTGGAAATGAATAATATTTGTGCAAAAAACAAAGAAGAAATTTTGGCGTTCTAACCGGGTAATAAGTGGGCCAACAACAAACTTTCTCAACCTGCCAACCGAGAACATTGTTGCATTACATCGAAATACGTCTGTGCGCAGTAAATCTATGCGTGTGCGCAGCCTCTGAAAGCTATGTGCGCGCGCACACGCGCACACCTTAGACGGAACACTGCCACTGTCTATATAGCAGACTTCTATAAAGCAGGCAATTCAAATTGTAGCCGTGGCCATATATCCATACCTATTCCTAACCTGCAGTTCACATGTCAGCCTAATAGCGCTCCCTGGAGGCGGCCATACAAATGTCGATTGGGAACGATGTCGATTTCCATCCATATTTCTAACCTATATGACCCAATAGCCCTCTGCAGAGAGGCCATTTCGAATAGCGAATAGGAAATATAAAAACCCCTATTTCCAACTTTCTGTATGCATGACAGCTCAATAGCGCTCTCTGGAGGACGCTATTTGTTAGCTGCAGTCCACGTTACCCATTCGCTTCGGTCGTATACCGCAGGGCTACTCAACTGGCGGACCGCGCCCGAATCCGGACCTTTCGACCATTTAATTTGGACCGCGTCTGCTTGTATATTTAGGCATTATAAGCATCGTTTTATAGTTTTGGATGATTTTGATACAATTTAAATACACAGCTATACAGCTTGTCGTATTGGTGCCGATGTGTGATATTATTTGCGTCCATATTTGTGAGCCATTCATTGCTCTTGTATTTAGTTTAATATTGCATTTGAAGTTTTGTTTATTTAATGAAATAAATTTTCTGTAATGTCCGGACCCCAGTAATTTTAAAGTTTTCTAAACGGACCTTTGGTGAAATTAGTTGAGTAGCCCAGATGTAACGTATAAAACATAATAGAAGAATGGATTCACTGATTATGAAGACATTCCAAGAACCCGTTTGCGCACGCCCGTTGACATGAGCCTTGGAACATTGAATGTCAAATTCAATCGTCAATTCAAGGAGAATATTCTTTTCATTAACGATGCAATTTATCCATCTTCTACGCGCTAATTCAGTCAACTGTATTTGGTATTTAACAGGAATCGATCAATTTGCGCAAATGAGAGATGTTTATATCAGAGAGGGTCATGGCTTCATTCTTGTGTACTCTATTATCGACAAGAACTCGTTCGAAGACGTGCAGATAATACATGAACAGATTATAAAAGGAAAATGCAGGTTCGTTTGTCTGTTGGTGTGTTGCCGGCCTGTCGGCGTATATTGTCTTTCTGTCTACCTGTCCGCTTATTGTCTGGATGTCGCGTATATTGGTTTTTTGCCTGTCTGCGTATACTGTGTGCCTGTCGGTGTATATTCTTCGTGTGTTAGTGTGTGTTGTCTGTATTTTGTTTGGCGTGTATTGTCTGTCTGTTGGCGCATATGATCTTTTTGTCTCGGGGTTTGAGGGAATTTTCACAGCACTCCCAGACTCCTGATTCCGAGCTGGTCAATATGATTTGTCTGTCTGTCGGGGTATATTGTTTGTCCCATGTCTGTAAAGTCGGGTGAGGTTCCATAGGAGCCCTGGCCCAAGCTATTCGACAAGGTTGGCTGTTGGGGAAAATTGTCTGTTTTTCCCAATTCCAGTTACAAGCGTTATGTACAGTAAGCTAACTGTTCCAATATTTTTTCAGTGACAATGTCCCGATCGTACTGGTCGGTAACAAACGGGACCTGGAAGGCACTGGGCGAGAAGTGGACACCGCCAACGGGGAAGAACTCGCCGCTAGATGGCCTCAGTGCATTTTTATGGAGACATCGGCAATGGATAAAGGGGAGGTCGAGGACGTTTTCGCAAAAGCAGTTAGACAGATCAATAACTTTGAGGGAATACGTCGAGATCGAATCTCCGCCCTTCATAAAGAAGCATCGAAGAAAAAAAAGGGGAACACTAAAAAATGTTCGATTATGTAACGGCATTATATATGATGACGTCATATACGGCGTATGAGAAACTCTCAAACCTCATCAACTTATGGCGGCATTCGTGAGAAGATGGCAATAAATGCGGCGATGACGTCATAAAAACCATGAGAAGGTTGTCATAAACTTACGCCTGTATCAATAATATGACGGCCTAGACTCCGTTGGATGTTGTCAATAATCGTGTTATCAAAACTATGAAACATTAAATTAGTGGAAGCGTTTCAGAATACCATGTTCATTGCTTATTGATTGTATATCATGGCTGTAAAATGAGGTTTTAAAAACTGTGATATCTTGGCGGAGAGGTGAAACAAGTTTGAAATAATTGAAGAGCTTTTAAAATCCGATTCTAAATTAATATGTAATTATAACTCAGTTTTCGAGATGCGCAATTAATTTCTTCTGGGTGGTCATAAAAAACAGAATACAAAATTCGAACATACTCTAAACCAGAGAGAGCATAACTTTCGTGCAAAGCGTCCTACTGAAACTTCTGGGCACAATCATACACAAAAAGAAGCTCAAGGTAAAATTAATTTTCCTTATTTTCATAGAAATATTCAAGAACATCATGGGTTCTCTATTTTGGGTCATTCAGCATGAATCCGGTGTACACTGGTCGCGAGAAATTTTCTTATTTCAACAGCAAAAAATTTTCTTTTTTGTGTTGGGGGAAAATTTGAAAATAAGGGCTTCTGCGCCTCCCTGAACCCTCCTACATTTATATCGATATGGATATTAGACTTCGCCATGAAAAATTGAATTTATTTTCAAATCATTGTCATAAAAAATGATTTTTGTTGTCTTTTTGTTATTTTTTTCATTTATTTTTTTCTGTCACAATTAACAGTGAATCTTAGCGCTTCATAATGGGAGTAATACCCAAATCGAACGTTTTGATTGCCTTGGCGTTATAAAAAAAAAAACAGCAAACTGAGTGACTAAAACGCCTCACAAAACACGAATACCCTCTGAAACAGTGGTTCTCAAACTTGTTATGCCGCGCCGTGGATCGTAACAGATTTCCACTATTTGTATATTGTATTCCACTATTTTTGAATTCTTTATCCCATTTGTGAGGGCTTTATCGGCTTTTTTACTAGTTTTGTGTAATGTCACACTTGGATCCGACTCCTGGTTCAAACTCTAACTTCAAGATAATCAATTTTTATCACAAAAAAACTCGGCTTTTGAAGAAAAATTGGACTCCATTTATAACCTTTGATATTTGCTGAACTTGTTAGCAATACATGGTTCCAGCGAGGCCAATTAATTGTAGGCACAGATAAACAGAAGGGAACTGATTTAATCAGAGGTGTGTAGCCGCAAATTGGATCCTTTGTATAAGGGCTTCCCAAATTTCAACGATCGTGACTCCTTCCAATATATTGAAATTTTTCGCGACCCCCTGTTTCGAGAAGCGCGCGCTTTTCGGGTCTTATATTCAAAGTTCGCCGCTTCCCTTATCCTATTCTCTCGGAATTTTTTTGCATCAGTTTTAATAATTGTGTTTCGAATAAAAAGTCGTATATCGCTTTGTGTTAAATTGGTGTGTACTCTTTGCGACCACTAAAGTTAATTGCTCGACCCGCTGCGGTGTCACGACTTCCAGCTTGGGGGAGCCCTGCTTTATACAATGCCTACTTACGTCTTTCGTTCTAAACAAGGCAGGTTTTTACTGATATCCAGTAACTTACTCAATTCTCGACTTCAAGGCCATCCGAATCTGAGCTCCGGAACTCATGCTAAATAAATTTTGATGATTAATGCATGTTGTAGTTTCCTTTGAGAATTTCAGATCACGCCCTCGACTTACTGGCCGTTCATAAGACCAACTTCCGACACTGAATTCGACCCAATATTCAGTATAACGATCCGCCGATAAAAACTTTATTGTCGGAATGCAGCCTCTGGCTTTATAGTTCCATATGTGAATTTTTACTCCGACCCTCGGTGCATATAATAAACTGAAAATTAAATGTGAGATGAATTCAAAATTCTGACTACTTTTTTCTCGTAGAAGTAAATACGAAATTACGGGTTCTAATTATTTTTGGGGTCGCTCTGTACAATTCCGATTCCAAAATAAGCAAAAAACCACCAAGTCCCGGCTCCACAACGGTTTAATAATAAAGCGAAACTCTATGCATCAATGCGTATATGAATAATTATTTGTGTATATACCACACTGTACATTTTAATGTTGCAACTTGAATGTTTTAAGTGAAATACAATTTCTTTGAGAAAAATTTTCTTTGCTTTTTTGCTTTATGTAAAATAAGATTACTGAACTCCTTGCTGTTGCTCATGTTCCATTTATTTGGTTACAATCTTTTCTGTAGCAACACATAATTATTAGATTAGCGTGCTTTTGACTTCCGGAAGTAGCGAATTGAATTGAGAATCGATCGCCAGAAACTTGCATGAATCCGAAATTCGAGTCTGCATAATTGGGGAATACCCTTTTAGCCTCCGAGCAGGTCGAATGTGATTTGTGAATATGTTAGAACTTTTAGGGGTGAGAAAGTATGTATTGACTTGTTGACTGAGGCCGGCCCTGCATTCTGCCACGAGATTACGTGGATGACATAATATCGTAGAAACAAACAATCACCCGAGACGATGCGAAACACCTTCGAGATCCTTATCGATTCTACACTAGATGTAACACGCAGGCAGAATTTTGATTACATGTAATAACAGTAATATGTATTGCGCGATGTGCGTTGGTTGTTTAACTGCTAAGCCTCGTTCATCAATATTAACAGCACTCCGATAATCAAAATGGGAGAACTTAGAATAGGTTAAACTTTAACCGTGAATAAATACTACAACGTTTCACACTTTATGTGTTTACCTTTGTCGCGTTCTAAATACTGCCAATCTTACATCATTATCACAGTTCACGCATGTCTATATTATTAAAGTTTCAATTATGTCAGTATCTTATGTATACGTACCGGTATTATGATTACATATGGCAGTATTTTAGTTATCAGAACTATATTGAGAAATCTTAAATATGCCAAAAAACGAAAACTAGACACTGAAAACAGACGTTTTTTTGGTAAATGGCTGCGTTCTTATTTCTTTATTGAAAAGAATCAAACTTCAGCGATTTGCCTTCCTTGCCAACAAACTATTTCAGTTATGAAGAATACAACATTGAGCGCCATTATGAGACAAAGCATTCTTTGAATTATCAGCGGAGTATTTCAAAATTTAAATTCATGCAAAAGTCAAACAAACATGTTCAAAAAAATGTCAAATGAAAGTGAATCCACGTTATTGGCCAGTTATATTGTAGCCCACAACATTGATTAAAAAGAATCGCCCGATTGTTGAAGGGCAAGTCTTGGAAGTCATTTCTCCAGACATAAGTAAGTTTTTCAGCATCAGTCTTTCTAACAACACAATTATGAACCTTAACAATTCAAAAATAATAGATAATCACTTGAATGCGTGATTGCGAATACAATGTACCAAATTGAAGGCATGTGGGATGTTTTTTTGTGTAACAAAACGAGCCATAAGTAGCCATTTATAGGGAGCCGTATGTCAGTTGAGCAAGTAACTTCATTAGTCGCTATCAGTTGAAAATTCCTTGTTAAAAGTCGCGCTCGTTGTTACGCGGGCATTCTATCACCTGACTAATGTAATTATTAATTTTATTATATAACAAACAATTTTTTTTCAGCCGTACTGTCGCGCCATTTTGGCGCTCCTTTTTTTAGACCCGCGAATATCCTTCTGCTTCAAATTTTTTCCCCCGATCAATAAACTTTGGGAACCCTGACGCGGCGGTGTGGCTCAACGGGCTAAGCGTTAGGAATACTCTCGCCACCGCACCTCTAATTACTCTGCGTGGGTTCGCAGGTTCGAATCCCATGCAGGGATGCTTATGTGCGAGAGGATTGCTGGACTCCTCGCCGTCGTTGGGTGGTTCACGTAACCGCTGGTCGGTTACGGCTTCCTCCACCACCAAGTCCATGCTTCCGAAAACAAACAATATAACTAATCCCATACCCGACTTGGAATGGTAACCGGACCAGAGGCCGTGGTTCGCCATATGGATAAGCCGTCTTATCGGCTTTCCTCTCCCCCGGGATGAATATGTAAATCCTATCCTATCCCTGACCTAAAGCTTTAGGCCAGCTTGTGATGAAAATAGAACTCCGTTAAACTCTAAAAAGTAGTAGCCCTCTAGCGACATCTACCGTCTTCCAGTTCTGAAATTTTGTAATTGAGTTACATGGGAAAGAAATTTACATTTGTTTATTTTGGATATTCACTTTCCATCCAAGTATTTTCAACGTAAATAATTGGGGAATACCCTTTTAGCCTCCAAGCAAGTCGAATGTGATTTGTTAATATGTAAGAACTTCTATGGGTGAGAAAGTATGTATTGACTTGTTGACTAAGGTCGGCCCTGCATTCTGACACGAGATTCAGTGGATGACATAATATCGTAGAAACAAGCAATCACCCGACACCTTCAAGGTTTTTATCGATTCTACACTAGATCCTTTTGCCTTACTATCTGTTATTTGTAGCTTTTTTGTTAGATAAATATTTTTGAGGTGGAGTGCGAGATTGACAAATTCTAAAAAGGACCGCGGTTTAAAAAGTTGGAAAACCACTGATTTAAAAATCCACTTTTTATCTAATAACATCCCAGAACACTACGACAAAACGATTATCCTTTATCCGCTAAAAAGCGAAATATTTACGATATATTTGGTAAAAATATTTAGTGGCAATCCCAAAAGGGTAAAATGATAAAAAAAAATACAATAATAAAATATTTTCAAAATATGACTATGTTCACGGTCACATTATGTGTGACGTCACATTCCCAATGACGTCATCTGATCATTATTATCGACGTTTATTTTTCATGATTTGTTTATCGCTGTAGCCTTGGCGAACCATGGTATCGTAACTAGGGGGCGGGTCCATGTATCCAGGGGGCGGGTTTACTTTCGTCACGGATGATGTCCTCTGGTTTTGTGACGTCACCATTGGTGATGACCTGTTCTCCATAACGCTCGGACGAAAAGTTCGATTCATATTCGGACGAATTTCAACGTTATATGGACGAGACGGTGGCGCTCCGTTTGTTGGCCTCGTTGTTGGGGGCTGTTGCTGACGCGGGGTCGTGACCCGGGAAGCAGGAACTTGACCGGAGGCAGGAAGTAAATAAGGTCGTTCTTGGTACTTTCTGAGGTTGTTATGTCTTCCAGCGAACCCAGCGGGTTTGTTACGACGGTCGACAGTGTTCTGTGGTAGAAAAATTTAAATTTGTAGAATAGAAACTAGAATTTGGAATAGAACTGTAAATTTTATGGTCTTTCCTATGGAGATGGCTTTTTACATATCAGCGGATTTTTGTACTGGGCCATCGCGATAAATTTATTAGGTGATTCGAAAAAGTACCAAGTTCATCGCAACATAGTTTTTGTTTGAGGAAGTCTTGATTTTGGTTAGACGAAACGTCTCAGGAATATATTTGTGCTCGTGTGCAGCAGGACTCTTGAATTGCATAGTACATTTTTGTTTGGCGTTCTTAAAGCAGATCATGAAAAACTTGATATGAGAATTACAAATCGAGTCTCACCACCGTAGTAATTCACACCGGTATATGTAAGATCGTTGCTGAGCACCGGGTTAGTCGGGAAATTTGGATGCGAGTATAAAATCTGTTATGACTCAGGTCTCCGGAGAGTTAACTCAGCCTTAAAAAAACATTGCAAACACCGACTCTATAGCTCAGCCCACGTCGGATACCAGGGGCATAACCAGAAATTTTCAGATGGGATTGTTTTGAATTTTCTAATGGCTAAGTTATACACCCTGACAGCTAACGGGTCCGGCGGTCGCAAAACGAGGGTTTTCAGTCTCGAGTCTTGACGGTCTAAAATGCGTTTCGATCTATGAAAATATGCTAGGCATGACACAGATAAATATTTTTTATTACGTTTCAAAAATGGGGGGGGGGGGCATGGACAGAAGATCTGGTAAAGTACTGGAAGCTGAACCAAAATTTTTGAAATCTGGTGACGCAGCTATGGTCAGACTTGTTCCAAGCAAACCAATGTGTGTCGAACCGTTCAAGAATTATGCTCCGCTTGGTCGTTTCGCCGTCCGCGACATGCGACAGACTGTTGCTGTTGGAGTCATCAAGGAAACTACCAAAAAGACCGGGAATGTGAAAGAAACCAAGGCAGCAGCTGGCCCCATCAACAGCTTAGACCTACCCCCCCTCCCCTTGACTACACCCCTGTCGAATAATTAAACCATGGTTTCCTCTAAGCTAAGGTGTACACAGCTGTGTAACTGTGTAAACTCCCTTTCGCGCACTTGCAACAGTACGTTTCCAAAGTTATACTCGTTATACTTTCTACTCCTAATAATGAATACACTACCAAGAATCAGATTTATAACTTATTTAGGACTCTGCTAAATCAACTAAACAAATATTTACTAAGTGTAAAATTTTCTTACAGAGGGAACACTACACTTACCCCGTATAAGAAATCTTCATTTCCAGCGAGAGCCATATTCATCGTAAAACCGTCATTATCTCTACCAGTCCTTGCACGTCTATTCCTGATCTCTCTTCTCTTTTTGCTTTTCTTTTTGTGGTCTCGGCAGCAGCAGATGATTAGAGCAATCGTGACGAGCAAAATAATAAACCCGCTTGACGCCGAAGCGATAATGGCAATGTGATAATTCGTCAGGCCGGCGAAAGGAGCTGCGATGAAAACAAAAAAAAAAGATTATTATGTCGCTGCAAGGAATTTTTAGGATTGGAATTTACATATTTATGCTGTGAGAGAGTAAAGCCGATACGACGACTTAATCATATGGCGGACCACGGTCTCTCGTCCAGTTGCTAGCTCATGATGCATTCAGATGCATGGACTTGATAGTGGTGCGGGCTAGATTAATAGAGATGCGGGCAAGCCTTTTTATACCAGAACCGACCTTTTTTTGTGTGTTGAACACTTCTGTTTTTATTATCCTATACATATATGATGTCCATGAAGTCTTAAAATTTTTTTAAATTGCAAAGGGAATTTATCGATACCATATATTGTTTTGTCGTGTCTTCACATATGTATCAAATGAAGTAGAAATCCTTAAACAATTACTGAAAAAAAAAAAAAACCTGGTCAAGATACATTGAGAACTGACTTCATAACAAAATTGAAACTCTAAACGGACTTTGTGGACACCCTGTATTTTAAGTAGCTTTGAGCTGATTCGTGTTATTTCAAAATACAGTCGTACACTCTAAGAAATATTTACCAGCAATCGCCTGGCATTACATATTACTGGAATGTAGTCGTGAAATTTTAATACGATTTCCCCAGTAATCTTTATTTTTTAATTTATTTTCCCCCCTAAAATGACGGTAAAATTTACCAAACATTTCTTAGAGTGTAGTCGAACAGTATGAACAACTGATCCCATCGAAGCTCGATATCGTTTAAAAGGTAAAAGAAGAAAACTCTGCGACAGACACACAAGTAAGCTGTTGAGCTCATATTAAAATAAATAATTGAACTGGGGTCTTCAGTCTATGCCTGGAGATACCATACGTTCCGTTTAACCGGAACAGTCTCGATTGTCCCTGCGTCCCGCCCGGTAAACTCAAATGTCTAGGCCAGGGTGGTCCAAGGTTGTCAGCTCCGCGGGCCACAAAATTATTTTTGCATTGCTCGCGGGCCACAATAGTGCCAAAAATAGATAAACAGTGCAATACCAAACAAACACTTTTATTGTGCAAACACATAGTTATCAGGGCTAATAGAATCCGCATTAGATTTTTAGTTTTCTATTGTTAGCATATATTGTTAGCATATATTCCCAACCAAAAAGATAGAAAGCCAGATAATAATTTAGACTGCAAATCACATCATTCAACTTCGCTAGTTGCCTCAACTAGCCATAACACTAGTCAATTCAGTGACATTAGGGATGTAACAATATGTAAAAAAATATTTCTGAATAATTTCATTACAAAACAACACGAAATGCTTTTTTTGATTACTCTCCGGATGTGACGCGGGCCACAGATAATGAAGCGACGGGCCTGGGTTTGGACCACCCTGGTCTGGGCCATACAGAATAAAAGTCATAAACGATTTCTTTTTATATACAAATACTACAAATTTTTGGCGGCCCCGCGTGGAAACTAATTTATAGCTAATTCTCATGCCCTATACCTACTCGCAAAGAATGATAAAAGTTTCAGATAGTTCAGTTTTTACCAAATCTCAGAATCAAACCAAGATTTATCCGATTCGCGCCGTCCCGGTTTTGTGTTCCAGATATAGGGTAAGCCTATTTATTCCTCCACTTCAAAACAATAGAACAACATCCCTTACCTTCTTCACATGAAGTTCTGCGACCCGACCATCCATCCGCAGTGCACAATCTGACGTCATCACCGGATATGACGAAACCATCTGCACAAGAATATTCGATTCTACTTCCGTATGAGAAAGTCTGTCCTATTGGTTGAGAGATGACTCTTCCTTCGTGGTCGTTAACCTCCCACCTCAAGGCTTTGTGAGGCGGGGATTCCCCATCATTGGCGGCACAAGTGACGTCAGAGTAACATACGCAAGTGATCGCTGTGAATTGAAAATAAATCAGTTAATGAAAAATTATTTGTTTATTAAAAGTGTCGCTGTCAAAGTGGCTTCTGACGAGATCTGTAATAGCCTAAGATTTAAGGATATTACCGAGCTAATTGCCGTTTTTTCTAAAAATAGAACATGAGAATACGAGAAAAGTTTAGCGTTTCATGCACTCGCTCAGAAGTACAGGAGACTCATATCTTTGCAAACCTACCGATAACCACCAAATTATGTCGACGCACAACACGCCTGCAAATACTAGTTGGCGCGAGACATTGCGATCGGATAGAAGCTACAAGGTGGAAATCCCACATAATTGAAGTTCCTGGGAATTCTATCGACTTAATTATTTCTTTACACAGGTCAGCGGTTCCCAACCGAGGGCCTTTGGTCCCCAAGAGAGCCACAGACCAACTGAAGGGGTTCTTCCTAGTTTCATTGCTTGATAAGGTTGTGTTACTGGATGTAATCACTTTGTTGAGCATGAACTGTTTAAACATAATGGATTTAAAATCGACCAATCAAAATAACACTATAAATACCACTGGAATAATAAACAGGGGGCCATCAGTACTAAAACCATCCACAAGCCATAAAAGGTTGGGAACCATTGACTGTAAAGGTGACTCACAAAAAAACATTCTGCGGCGGCTGATAACAGAAATTGACTACTAGTCTGCTATGGTTCCATTACATTTGAACCCACGTACATTTGAACCCATGACAATTGCACCTGTATGCTATTGCACCTATGGAATTTTTTTTGTTTCACGGATAGTTAAACCTATACTAACCCTAACCCATGGGCTTTAGCACCCGCATATAGATTGAACCTGTGGATATACACATGGGTTCAAATGTACATGGTTCAAATGTACGGTCACCGTCTGCTATACATTAAACTACCCATTAGAAAAACTATTCTTGATAAATAAAAGTTTTCTTACCGCCAGACGACTCATTGTTCGACATTATATAAAAATATATGGTGTGGAAATCAGAACATTTAAAATATAATTAAAAATATAAAACTGTAAAATAGAGGAAAATTCAAATAACTGACTCTGGCCTCTTGTATGGGGTCCCAAGTTATGGCCTGGTTCTCACTTTCTTTCTGAAACTAATTTAATCATTATTGTCGTTCATATTGAACATTTTCTGGCCGTTTATTCTTACTCTTAAGCATACGTTAAGGGTACGTTAGACTGAGTATGAGACTATTCCTTCCATAACTGCTAATTTACCCGAACATATTTTTTATCGCCTGATGTCAACAATTTTAAGAACTTCTCAGGAAGCTACATTTTCACCAAAGCAACTACAGTTACTAACAAGTCTACTTTCGCAGTCACATGACTTATTTTGTCCAATCACAAGACGCAAGATAATTTTAGGGAAAGACGAGCTATCTATAATTTGTTCTCAAAGGGTACCAAACATTTAATATACAGGGTGTTCATAAACCACGTTACAATTTCAATTTTGTTATGAGGTCAGTTCTCAATATATCTTAACCACGTTTGTTGTTTTTTAATCAGTAATTGTTAAAGAATTTTTACTTCTTTCAATATATCTATGAGGGCTAAAACACTATACGGTATCGGTGAATTCCTTTTGCAATTCAAAAAGAAATTAAAACTCTATGCACACGCTATATTATCTCGCCACCTATTATACATTGCATAAGGTTCAAAATTTCGAAACAAATTATATCAAATTTCGTCCAGAACCAGTCGTCCCAAAAACGTACATTCATTACTAAATATTATTTCTAATTTACAAAGGAAAACATAAGTGCTCATTCATTATACGTCACATAAGGTTCAAAATTTCGAAACTGATTTTTCGAAATTGAAAATCTCAAATATCGTTCGGAATCTATGGCCTCAGGGACGTACATTTACAATTGAATATTATTTTCGGTTAAACAGAAAAACAGATAAAAATGAGAAAAGCGTTTCATGTTTACTAGACAATTATTCAAAATTATAAGTTTGTAAGTATTTTACAAAGTAATGCGGACGGATTAACGGCGCGACACAGTCGTGAAGACGAGTTTAAATTAGTAATATTCTAGATTATTTGGTCATAACACGATCACGTGCACGTAATAATTCGGTGGTTACTTTCTATGAAATTTCTCCTTTTGCCTAGCTTGAAACTTTTTATTCCTCACTATGCATAAATCATATATTTTTACTTATCGATCTTAAAATCGGCAAGTATGTTGATAGGTATTTGTCAGTTTGTCTGTTAGACACTTTCGTATGTTACTCGATATCTCACGAAAGCGGAGTTGAATCTCCTCCAAATTTTGCAAGTGCATTCATCATATCTCGGATCAAAAGCCTATTGATTTTGGATGAATTACGTCGTATAATTAGCGAGTTATTATTCAATTAGTGACGGGACACACGGTGTCACTATGGAGTAAGAGCACATGAATCGATCGATAAGTCTTCGGTCTTCAAGCGATATTCTCGTTTTATCTTTAATAGCTAGTTTTACTCGCAATTCGCAATCCGGTTTTGGAAATTTTAAGTAAATTATAACATGTCTATAAGTATTATAGTACTAGGAAAAAACTAAAGAATATTATACAGAATACTTGAGCGAATACAAGGAAAAATTAATTTTCAAAATCTGGTTTATTTTTCAATCTTCAATGTATTCTTAGCTACTGTCACCCGCAAGCCGCAATCGCGTATTGTACATTTTAAGTAGTTTATAACATGTCTACGGATTATAGTACTACTAAAAAAAACTAATAAATATTAGTAATACCACAGCGAATACAATGAAAAAGTCATTTTCAAAAATCCGTAATCCCGTATTGTAATTTCAAGTAGCTTATTATATGTCCATGAATGAATATTGTAGTAAAAATAAGAAAAACTAATGAATATTAGTATTGCTACATCGGATACAAAGGAAAAGTCTTTCCTGACACGATGAAACTCCTTCTCGAAAGAAATTCTCTGCGTTTCAGAAACGTTGTACTAATCTCTGAGTCAACTGTCAACTTGACATCATTTTGCAATACCGACACCATCGTTCGCCAACACAAGCATAACCCTCTTCTGCGCAGCTATCTGACAACTGACACCACCAGAGCACGCCAGACAACTAAACTAAAAGTGAACCCTCAAAGAAATCCTTTCCAATCAAAGTGTTTCCTAAGAGACTTCGTTTTGACAGGAAACAAATATAAACCGGCCATGGCCGAGAAATCGTTCTATTTTAATCTCAATAAACAGCGCTGTATACAAGATAAGCTTTCTAAACATAGTCCATCCACTTTCACTACTGAGTGCCTTAAATAAAAGCATCAAGCCTTAAAGGGTAGATTGCCGCCTTATAATATTTTAGGTAATTTCCTTAGAATGGGCTTCTGATAACTACACAGTCTTATATATGGCCTGGCGATGGCCGTTTAAAAACGCTACAACGCTTAGTCTAAATCGTGCATTAGAAGCCGCGCGGGCTTAATTATTACGAGACAATCATGCTATTTTCTGACAATTATTGGAACATAATGCTATTCCTGGCAGCAGACGACAACTTATTTGTGACGAAATAGGGACATTTCTGACAATTCATGACTGAACGGATTATGACGTAATAATAAATAGGTCGTCTGCAGGCGAATTCGTGATGAATTGATTAAATTGGTTTCAAATCGAAAATTGAAATAAAATTGCTCTTGACTTGTGATATTAAACTAAAAAATAAAATAAATTAGTGGCATTTTACTGTCAGTTAAACAACAGAGCAATGTTCGAATATATGGACGCAAAAGTCAAATGACTAATATGGCAAATCTAAAAAAATTATTCCAGATCCCTGAATTGCAGAAAAAAAAGTGTGGTAAAGTATAGGGCCCGTTCTTTTATAATCTTAAAAGTAATAACTTTCTGGCGGCTTCAGCCATTTTTAAGTATTCGAAATTGATTAGTCAATTAATTGCAGAGAAATGCATTTTTTCCCTAACAACAGGAAGAGAACAACTTTTTGGAAACCGTCCAGAAAGCAATGCCCAAAAACAGACAAAAAGGTGGTTTTCGCACAATGAGAGGAAGCGATCGTCCACCTAATTTGATGGTAATGGTGGCGAAAATTTAGGAATAAACAACGCGACAATTAGTCTATAGCGCAGTGTTATCCGAAGGAGTTGCCAAGAGCGCTCCAAAAATTCACAGAAATGTGTTAGACATAACTAATACATGATAGAATATTTGAAAAGATGTGTTCAGGGCAGCAGCCGCACACATTTCATTAAATAAATAAGTGTAAATGTTATGAAATTGACATTGCAATTATGCAATTTCATTCTTTAGGCCTACATGTTAACAATCTATAAAGGGTACTCCCATAGTGTGTGTACCAGGTTAGGCCATAATTTTATTCAGATTTTCCTTATTTTAGTTCTATTACGAGTTCGGGGACTGTCTGTGTTAGCCAAGCGAACATACCCCCTGCCCATAGGTTTCAGCCCCTTTACACAACTTGATGTGAAGTAGGCGAACAATATTAGTTACCTTCATATTAGTATATATACTTCTGGAGCGCCCTTTAAAAAGCATAAAATACACATTAACAATCATAAAATTAGGTTTCATTTTAAGGCAGAATTTTTTTCGTGTAAGTGCGCTGTGATAATTTGGCGCCGCATGAACAAGTTTAGAAATGCTGGAATATAGTGAATTCGAAAACAAACAGGAAAAAGTAATAAAGTCATTTTTAGTGACTACTTGTGAAAATTTGAAACGAGTTGGCTCATTAATCGAAATTTTATTCCAACACTAACGACATTTTATAAAATAAACCATAGATCAACTTCGGGCCAGTATTTTGCAAAAATGAATAATGATTTAATTGTTAAATGCTGTCGCGAACTGAGCGTAGAAAAATGATCTTTTCCTGGAAATTCACTCCATTTATCAGTCTGTATATGAAACCTGTTATAGCAAACGCGGCTCCCGAAGTATGCGAAC